TCACACCTTCTCATTTATTAGTCAAGCTTTGCAATATGAAAATTTGTAAAATATAAATTTTTTGAACATTCGTTGACCTCAGAATACACCGATAGTTTTTGTTCTGACTCGCCTACAGCGGTGTGACCAAAGGTTGTGCGTCGAGGTTAAAGGACCGCGGGTCGTGGCTAAAGCATTGCGGGTTTTGGCTAAAGGATTGTGGGTTTTGGCTAAAGGAATGTAGGTCAAAGCTAAAGGAATGTGGGTTTTGGCTAAAACATTTTGGGTTTTGGCTAAAGCTTGATGGGAAAAGGTGTAGATTGGGCTAAAGCTGGCTAAAGCTTGATAGGAAAAGGTGTAGTGGTATGTACTATCATTCAAACAGTTGGATAGTCAAACTAACAATCGCTTGGAGCATTCAAATGTTTAAAAGTTCGGTAACAGCTTTTATCGAGGAATGAAATCAAATGCTAAAGAGTAGTCAAGAAAAATACGTCAAACGAACTTGACAGAGTTCTTGGAAGACTTAGTGATGGAATGTTTAAGGGTGGAGACTGTATTAGGGTTGTAAGCAAACTGTAAAGGATAATTATAAATGAACAAATCAGGACCAGATGATGCCAGGAGTGTATCGAAAAATCGATGCTCCATGGGTTGTTTTATTGTGAATGTTATAATGATAATAACACAGCTATGTCGGTAGAGAATTATATTCGCCGACGTTTCGGTTGCTGTGAGTAACCTTTCTCATGGCAGGTTTTTCAATCAAATGATTCAGAGGAAAGGATCATCGCGCGCGCGCGTGTGTGTGCATGTTTTTAGAAAAATCGGATTAACAACAGTAACTATAGGTAGACATTTGGTAGAGTATATGTCTCTCACTCTTCCGGTCATGATTTTAAACGTCACGTTGATTTTAAACTAAATTACGTGGATGCAAACGCGTCCTGTTGTCAGTTTTTGTTTTTAATCAGAATTAATTGATATAAAGTGACCCTCTTCCAGACCAATACCGATTGGGGAAGCGTAAATGCCTCGACAGCGCACTGTGTAACGCATGTGCCGTCGCGCAGAAGTTTATCCCCCAAACAGTGCAGCTGAAACTGTCCACTTTCTTCTAACCGTTGTCATACGCTTTCTGCGGTCCGATCGGTCAACTAATCGTGCATCAATCAATCCCATTTCCTTCCGTGTAGTTTGAGCGATTCGAACTTCGCTGCTCACCTGGATACCGATCCAAATCAATTTGTCTGTCCTCTGCTGACTGCCTTGATGAATCACATGCTTCCGATTGCGGATCTCCTGGTAAGTGAGTGACCTTGTACAAAAGCACCACAGGGTTTTTATCAACGCGCTCACAGCACACACACACACAGACACAGGTATACACATAGAAATCGAAGGAATTCTTCTTTCTACCACATTCCGGCATATGAAGGGTATCACAATCCAGTGTTTATAATTTTTCCAACTGATCTGATCAACTAAGTTTGTTGCATGTTTTAAAATCTATCCTCGAATTGCCGAAAGGAGACCTATTACGAGGCGTTAACATCTCGGTAAATGCCCTCAGTCGCTGACGTAAAAATACCGGGAAACGTACAACACAAGGGATTGATCCATCCTTAGGAAAGAAAGTGGAGTGCATGAAAATAGTAACAAGACTAATAGTGGAAGATGAACTTTATTGTAAGTGAATTGATTGTACTAACAACTTTCGGGTGCATAAATCCGGTTGATTTCATTGAATACGGAACGTTCCACTAATTGCCAAACGTTTAGCATTGCAGTTACGTAACGTTGGTTTGAAAGACGAGAGACAAGGGAGAGAGGATCATTCTTTTACATCGTTGTCAAGAGGTATTCTGTAACGGGAGATCGTATGATCATCTGACCACTGGTTATTGGTTGCATAATGGACGCAGGCCAACCACTTTGGAATGTGTTCTTTTATCCGTTATGATAGCTGAGGGTATTTTCCATCCATATATGCGTTATCGCCACTTCCGGTCGAGATGGTATACAGTGTGCGTGAAACAGAGCTGGCCTGACAACCATGTTTACGCATGTCGGTTCCGCGAGTAGAGGTAATTAAGTAGGCTGAGAATATGCGTGCGGTCTACAGCTGACTTCAACTTTTCGTTGGTATCAATTAAAACGCAATCACCTTCGAAGGCTAACCTGATGTAGATGACCTTTTCGCTAACGCTGTGGGTTGGGTTATCTTTTTAGAATTGCCTATGTTAGATGTCTTTATATCATCTCAGATAACTACTGTTTAGTAAGTCTTTAGGAATTTCTCTTTTGTTATTATATCCGGCGAATAACTGTTTCCTGATGTCAAACGGGCGTTTGTAAGCCGTTGGACAGAACAGCTAGAAGGGGGTAGGCATTAATCACTCCGATTAAATAGGATTTTATGGTATCCCATTTCATCATCACTTAACTTCTATATCGGGAACCGCTAAAGGGTTATAGTTTTATACACCGTGAGATGCGGAGAAATGTACACCAGCTGACTTAAAATGTTGTAAGAGGGATTTTCTCTCTGTGTGTCGTTATTAGAATGAGACAAATCACACCCTGCGAATGTGAATGTGAATCGTTCCGTCCAATCGATTCATTTACAGGGATTCGGTCTAAGGATGCTAAAGCCCGATTGATGTCTATCTACGGTAGAGGCGATAACGATTAGAATAAACAAC